CCTATCAAGATTCCAAGGATGTGTTTGCAGACTCAGACAAATATTTGAAAAATTTATAAGGAACTACAAAAGGCCCCGCATGGCAACAGTATTCCTGAGAGAGAAGAACAAAGCTGAAGGAATCATGTTGCCTAATATCAAACTATACTATAAGGCCATAGTAATCAAAACAGCATGGTACTGGAATAAAAACACATATAGATCAACGGAAAAGAATAGAGGACCCAGAAACAAATCCACATCTTTACAGTCAATACTGGACAGAGGAAGAAAGCACATATGATGGTCAAAAGATAGTTTATTCAATAAATGGTGTTGGGAAAACTGGACAGGTATATGTAAAAAATGAAACTAGACCACCTTCTTACACCACACACAAGCTCAAAATGGATGAGAAAGTTAAATGTTAGACCCCAAACCATAAAAACTGTACAAGAAAATAGGCAGCAAAATATCAGACGTATCTCATAGCAATATTTTATTAGGTATAGCTCCCCAGGCAAGGGAAACAAATGAAAAAATAAAGAAATGGTACTTCATCAAAGTAAAAAGTTTTTCTACAGCAAAGGAAATCATCAACGAAATAAAAACAAAACCCACAGATTGGGAAACTGTATTTGCCAATACATCTGATAAGAGGTTAATATCCAAAATTTATAAAGTACTTACAAAACTCAACACCAAAAAACCAAACAGCCAAATTTAAAAAATGGGCAAAGGACATGAATAGACATTTCTCATTAGGGGAAGTGTCCAGGCATGTGGATCTGCCTTTTAACCCAGTGATCCCACTTCTGGGAATATATCCAAAGGAACCCCAAACACTTAGTTTGAAAGAACATAAGCGCCCCTACATTCCTTGCAGCATTACTTAAAATTGCCAAAATATGAAAACAGTCTTAAGCATTTCTCAGTAGATGAGTGTATAAAACTATGGGGCATTTACATAATGTAATACTCGGCCGAAAAAAAGAAGAAAATTCTACCCTTTGCATCAGCATAGATGAACCTGGAGAATATTATACTAAGTGAAATCAGCTGGTCAGAGAAAGACAAATACTATCTGATTTCCCTCATGTGTGGAATCTAATGAATAAACTGAACTAACAAGGAAAGTGGGGACAGACTCACACATGTAGAGGAGGATGACAGCTGGTGAGGGGATGTGTAGCAGTAAGGAGAGGTAAGGAAAGGGAGGGTTGAGTAAAAAGGAGAAAGGACTCATGCACAAGGACAACAGTGTGGTAATTGCTGGGGGAAGGCGAGTATGAGGGGACTAAATGGTAATGGGAAAAAATACAATAAAGATTAAATTAAAACAAACAAACAAACAAACAAAAAAACATTGGCAAAGGACCTGAACAGACACTTCCCCCAAGAATACATATAAATGGCAAAAAAATATGTGAAAAATGCTCAACTCCACTGGCTATTGTAGAAATGCAATTCAAAACTACACTGAGATACCACCTCACACCTGTCCAGAATGGTTATCAACAACAAGACAGGTAATAACAAGTGTTGGAGAGGTTGTCAAGAAAAAGAACCTTCACTGGTGGAAATGTAAACTGCTACAGCTATTATAGAAATCAGTATGGTAGTTCCTCAAAAAATGATGAATAGAGTTACTATATGACACAGCAATCCCTCTTCTAGGTATGTACCCCAAAACTTGAAAACATTTGCAAAAGATATACCCTTATTTTCATTGCAGCATTATTCACAGTGGCAAGCATGGAGACAACCAAATTTCCCTTTGATAGATGACTAGATAAAGAAGATGTGGCATATATATACAATGGACTATTATTCCACCATAAGAAAAGATAAAGTACTGTCATGTGTGGTAACTTGGATGGAACTTCAGAATATTATGCTAAACAAAATAAGTCAATCTGAAAAAGCTAACCACCATATGGTTTCACTCCTATGTGGGGTTTAAAACTGAAACTCATAGACACGTGGACAGGGACAAAGCCGGGAGGGAAGAGAATTGTAAAGGGTAAAGGTGGCCAAATCCATGGCAATGGAAGATGATTCGACTTTGGGTGGTGGGCCAATGCAACATACAGATCATGTTTCATAGGCATGTATACTTTAAACCTATATAATATTATTAACCAATATAACGCAATAAATTTGCTTCAAAAATAAAAAGCCATTAGAAGACTTAGAAAAGAGATCTAGAAGTTTCAACATGTGAATAATGGTAATTTCTGAAAGCATTAAGAGAACGGAGAGAAAGTACAGTAATACTGAAGAAATAACAGCTAAGAATTTTGCCAAACCAAAAACATGGGTCCACAGATTTAAAGGGCCCAAAGGTGATGTCTTCAAAACTCATCCCCACTAACTAAAATTATTAAGGGTTTCTCATAGCACATGCATAATTATCACATACAAAATTTGATTTAAATCACTAAAAATATACTCTAGAGGATAAAAGGTTAATTTGGAGAGAAAAGAGTGAGATTCAAGAAACACATCAGAAAAAAGTAAAAACATATTGAATAAAAATGTTTAATATCAAATGAAAAATTCAAGTACCTATTTACCAAGATCAGAGGAGAAAAAACAATAGGACAGAGAAGTATTCCTTGCACAATGTTTTTCTTGTGCAAGGCACAGATATAAATACTGAATTATACCTTGTTGCAAATTATAATTTTAAGTATACACATACAAATCTTAAGGGTGGCCACTAAAAACACGAAAATAAAATATATAACTTTAAAATTATTGGGTGGAAAAGAAAGAGAAAATTACCAAGAGAGGAAGAAATTTTGATGAAGGCAATAAAATAACCAAAGAAATGATATGGTAAATATAAAGCACAACTTACAATGTCAGTAGTTCAACCTAAGCATATTAGTAATCATAAAATTTGGCAGTGATGATATAACATAGGACATAATGTGAAACTCATTAAATGAGATAAAAACAGTGCATATTGATTTTTAAAACAGTACATAAAAGATTTATAGATAACCAATAACATAGGTTTAGAATATATATGACAAAAATTCAAATTAACAAGGAGAAACTGAAAAGTTCACACACTCAGAAGTTTCCCAGAAGCAACCTACTTTTTAATTTATACTTACCACACTTAATCACAAAATTTATTTGAAATGTCTTTAAAGAAATATTGGGTTGGCCAAAAAGTCCATTTAGTGTTTTCTGTAAAATAAAAGACACATTTTTCATTTTCACCAATAACTTTATTGATTTGGATATTTTGAGTATGTTGGCTGTCTCCCACATGGTATAATGTTGATTGTTCTCACTTAGTGTCTAGATTTAATTGCTATCAACTTCAACTGGTCTGCCCGACCTGGAGTATCATCCAGCAAGAAATCTCCCCCATTGAGGATTCGTAAACCACTTTTGACACGTTCAGTCACAACACCTGCTCCATACCCTGCACAAATCTTTTTTTAAATTTCAGCTGCGTTTACACCCTCCTTGAAATAACAAAGCATAATACACTAAAAATTGTCTTCCATCTTCAATATTAAAATGGCTAACCAAAAATTCACCAATTTTGAGAAATTTTTTTTAAATGCAGGCTTATATGACAGCTGTCACAATAAAATCTAACGGAATTGTTTTGAATTAAGTTAAAGACAATTGAACCATCTTATGGAAAAAAACAAATGAGCTTTTTGGCCAACCCAATGCATTAATAAGAAACAAATTGTAAATACATCTAAGTTCACTAGAAAGGTATCAGATATAAACAATGAAAATTCCTTTTCATAACAGAGGTACCATAAAATAAATGTTACCAATTTAAGAAATATTACTGGCTTCAAAAAAGGTGAGATCCATGAAGGAAAGGAACAAACAAATCACACTCGTCAAGGAGCATTTTGTACTTCATGAAATCATGGGAAAGATGTATAGTATGTGATTGAGGACATAAGCTTTGGAGTCCAACACACCTGGATGAGTGATACCTCATTTGTTACAAAACTGAGGTAAATGTATTAAGTTCTAAGTCTTAGTTTCCACATCAATTAAATGGGTATAATTGTTTCTAGCACCCTAAATCTATCAAGATGATAAAATAAAATAATACCTGGCACAGAGGGCTCAAAATTGATAGGTAGTGTCACTATTAAATTATATTGGGGTGCAAGGTGTGAGAAATGGGGTAATATTCTTGGTATTATCTAATTAATATGTGTTTTACAAGTGCTTTTAAAATCAAATGGGAAATGTTTTTCATTTATTTTCCACAATTTGGGTTCTCAGTTCTCAAAAACTAGCTGCATTTTTTTTATTAAAATAAGGATTGCTTATTTTATACTGAGAGAGTAAGGCTGGGAGAATACATGTTGTTACCCTACATCACCTTAACAAGTGCTCCAAATTTCCAATCTATTGAAGAGAAAAAGATTAAAAATGCCATCATTATTGTCATTCTCCGGTCCCAGTAATTTCTTCCCTTTTTGAACTAGAAACATTTTCTAAAGAAAATACTTTAAAAATCTCCAATGGAATATAATCTTGCAGTGAAACCACAGAAGCAGCTCACATAGCTATATCCTGGTGTCCCGAGTACCCTAAGCAACTCCTTTATTTTCTAGCTTTTACTGAATAAACAAATGTCTTTAACATAGCTAAAAAGGTTTACAGACAAAAAAATTTTAAGTAATTAAAAAGATCTTACTCATATGGTCCAAAGCTATAAAGCATTTTTGAAAATGTACTTTTAGTTCCCAGTACTCAAAAGGATATATATGTAGAAGACACTTAGGCAGAAACCCCGATCTCACCTCCAAAATGAAATAAGAACATTGAGCCAGAGTTCCCTTAATACGAAATTTATTGCAATATTTACAGATGGGGAATGTAAGAAATTAAAGCAAAACTACTGCACATTGGTTTCTTCACATACAGGTATAAAAACCAACTCCTTACTTGCTGCTTGTAAATTCTGTTCAACAGGCTTTTCGTGTTACTTTTAAATACAAGCTGACATGATATTTTCTTACCTTTCCATTAGCTTCTCTTTATCCCAATTGAAGTGGCTAAGGAGTATTCTTGTGATAGTTGCTGGATTCTAAAAAAAAAGGGGGAAAAAGTCACTTTAAGGTAACAGCACTTCATTGACATTTAGTGAATTTTTAGGTTGAATTTGCAATATCCCACCCAAATCTTCTTTCCTCTAAGACATTTCTTTCTCCCTCTAAAAAAATACAAAATTTTAATTATAATAAGATCAAGACTATTTAAAAATACTAAGCCACATCAATAAGGCAAGTCTTTATAGGATTCTAACACAAAAATTCAAAATAAGCCAAAAAGGCATTAAATGAAAAATTACTGTGCTAAATGAAGCAATAATTTAAATGAACCTTTTTATCATTTTAATATCTGCCAATCAGCACACTATTAATCAATAAAATTTCTAACACCTTATGTATTGACTAGTTCAAATAATCCCAAAACATTTTCAAGTCAGAAGGTCCTTCAAAGACACTTAGTGAAAAATGACAAAAAAAATCTGTTCCACATAATAACCTATTGAATATAATTTTAAATTTGTTTCTCATTTCTAGAAGGCAAATGCCATGAAATAAACACTTACTGCCCTATCATTCAATGCTGTCACAAATGTTTCCATTTCCCATAAATTAGTGATGTTAGTATCTGGGTACCGAATTTTAACTTAAAATGCAACGGCTCCCTCCTAAAAGATGAGATAAGCCCGACTGGTTCAAAGATACTAGAGCTAGTTGCAATATCAGACTCTGCTTATTTGTATTTCACATATAATTTTATTACATCAAATAGCATTTCAAAACAGATCTTTGTACATAAAACTACTTTTATTTCACCATAGTCAGGCTACAGTATTATAGTTAACTACTGAATTAGTTAAAAAGTAGTCCTCTATAAAAATGATGTCATAAAAGATCTCTCCCTCTTCTTCTCAACAATACCATCTATACAGGAAAATACATGCATATTCATACCTCACAAAAACCAAAGATGCAGACATGGTAACACTCATCCACCCACCACTTCAGGCACATTTTACATTTATAGTCCATCTAAGTACTCCTTACTTCTAGGACCCAGACTTCCCGAAGAATCCTCCTTTAGCCCTGGTTGGCTGGTTCAGTTGATTGGATTGTAATCCTTTACACCAAAAGGTTGTGGGTTTGATTCCTGGTCAGGGAATATGCCTCGTTTGTGCATTTGATTCCCACTCAGGGTGTGTATGGGAGGCAACCAATCCATGTCTATCTGTCTGTCTGTCAGTCTCTCTCTTTCCCCCACCCTCTCAAAATCAATAAACATAACCTCAGGGGAGGATTTGAAAAAAAATCCTCCTTTAACACAGCATGCCAGATGGACATCACCAATCTGTAAGAGTTCTTTAATATGTGAAAAGATGTATTAACTGATCCTCAATTATGTGTTCATTTGTATAGACTATATAGACATTGTCATGCACCCAACTTTTTCTTAGAAATGTGATCCGACAGTTTATTTTTAAAAAGAAAACCTCTCAAGAGTTTGGTAACAGATTTCCACAACAGGATTGGCCTACTATTTAAATAAAGTTACTTTAGATTCATTCATATGTAAAATAAGGGCAATAATCCTATCAATTGGCAGAACTAAGTCCAGTAGTATTCACTGGAATTGTGTGACTAATTTTATGGCATCCAATACATTATATTCTGTGCTACTAGACAGAGTGACTGGGGGAAAAATGTTTCGGGAATTAAGTCTCAACTTACAAAGAGAAATATGGGAAGAGGAAGGCAAATGCCTTCTCTGACTTTATGTTGCTGGTGCCTTTCTTGTTTGAGTTCCAGTCATCAAAAATTGATCCCATCCACGTGGAAATTATTATGGAAAGTTCTATTAAAACAGATTCCTAGGATCCACCCCCATATATTTATTTATTAGGTTTGAAGCAGGGCCTCTCCAGTACCAAAGGAATTCATAAAATCAGATCAGTGTTCTTTTTTCCTATTTTTAGCTCATCCTTAAAAAATACGTTTGCTTAATAATGTACATACTATATTGGAGGTACATGCTCAAAAGTTTTCCCAACAGAATGTTACTGAAAAAAATTTTCTAAACCACAGTGGCATGAAAATGACAAAATATATTCTGTCAGGGCTCTAAGTTATGGAGCAGGGAATATTTTGCAATACTAACCAAATATATTTGGGTCACTATTCCAGTGCAGCTGGTCATTTATGTGCATTACATATATGAAAAGATTATGGGAGAATAATGTTTATTGTGCATCTACTATATGCTAGGCCCTGCACAAGCTACTTTATGTTGGAGCCCAAGAGGCCTGTGAGGGGTCGAGGATAGGGTCTAGTACTGCGCAATAAACTTGCCTTATGCCAGCAGAGCATCTGGTCCTCTCCTTTATTTCAGTCCCTCGCTCAGCCTCACGACCACCCTTGCCGCAGCGGGCTGCGGCAACTTTATACACCTCATTTAATTCTCAAAATACTCAGTAAGGTATACTGACCTTCCATTTTAAAATATGAGAAAATTATGACTAGGTTTCAAAACGTTATAAAAATCTCCCAATGTCATTCAACTAATTAAGTGAAATAGTTGTGAAATCTAGCCTAGGGCACTCTGGATCTAATATTCCCTTTAATTATTCCATGTAGTAGAACCTAAAGGAATATTAAATATCTCATTTAACCACTAGTCAAATGTTAAAAATCCTTTACATCCTCCACCAAAGGGTAATTCAGGGCAGGATGAAAAGGAAATGGCAGAATGCTAAGAGGCACAAGGAAACTTCTGAGAGACTGAAAATGTTCTATTTTTTGAATGTGATGATTGATTAGATTAGGAAAAACATTTATCAAAATGCAAACTATACACTTAAAATGCATACATTCGGTCATATAAAAATTATACATCAATAATGTTGACTTATTTAAAAAACTAAACAACTTGACTTCTGATGCTGGCCAAGTGTCTCTCTCGTCCACTGATAGTAACTAAAACTCTAGACAAAATACAACTAACAAAGTACTCTGAAAATTAAATAACAGCAAGCAGATTAGGGAGAGAACTGAAGAACAACCAATAAGGTGGCAATGAGTATCCTGGGGTTTTTTTCTTCTCCTTTATTTCCTGGCTTTGATCCAAGGGTTGGTTAAACAGGGAAAATGTAGTAGGTATGACTGGCAAAAACTAAGAGCAATGTATCTTTTTGGCCAGAGGACTAAGGCAAAAAGTTCCTGGAGGAGAGTTGTTTGGTTTTTTTCCTTTCTCTTCTCTGGTCTCTCTCTGCCAGCCCCAGCCATGAAACTACACTGCTGCAGAGTGACCACTGAAAACCACAAGAGAAAAAACACTGCTCACAATAATCAGGAAGAGCATACCTGTTGTGAAAAGAAGAATGTGAAGAAGTCCCCTATTCTTTTTTTCCTTGCCTCTTCACCTAAAGATATGACCATAGGCAGGAAACTAAAACAGAGAGAACTCCATACTTCTGGTTCTAAGAATGAAGAAAAGGACCTCTTGGAGCCAGAGAGTGCAGGGAAATCACTGAGAGAGAGAAAGAGAGCTGGAGAAGTAGAGACCTAATTCTGCATGTGAACCTAGTTCTGGGCTCACTTATAAACTGTGCATGAGTCAAACACAGCCAAAGAAGTACAAGAGAGGCTTTCAGTTACAGAACTGTAATATAAATCACTGCCCATGTCCTAGACAGCCTAAATGGGAATGGAAGGGGCAAAATCAACATAGCAAAGTCTTTGAAAACTGAACAGATAAAGGAACCACTGCCTCTGTAAAGTGAGAAATAACATGAACTTAGAACCTCACAGGGTTGGCTTGTTTACTAAAACAATAAAAAGTCCTCACCATTCTCAAAAGGATTTTAACAGGACGGAGAATCTTACAACACAATATTCAAAATGTCCAAGACAGAATCCAAAATTATCAGACACAGCAAGAACTAAAACTCCAACCAATTCTCAAGGGAGAAGACAATAAATGTTGACCCCTAGATGACCCAGATGTTAGAATTATCAAAGGTTTTAAAAGCAATTATTAAAAACATGATCGATTAGGTAAGAGTGAAAACCTTAAAAATAAATTTTAAAATTTCTTAGGGAAGAAAAAATATATAAAAAACAGAAATTTTAGAACTAAAAATCATATAAGTTCACTGGATGGGCTCAACAGCAAAAAGGAGTCTACAGAAATTATCCAACCCTAACAACAGAAATTATTTATTCAAAGAACAGTTTCTCAGGGTCTTGCCAGCAGAGAATTCTGCTGCAAGTGCAAGTACAGTTCAGGAATGAAGACAAAGATATTCCCAGACAAAAGAGAACTAGGAGAGCTCACTGCCAGCAGACCTGCTCTAAGGAAATACTAAAAGAAGTTCTTTAGGTAGAAAAGAAAGGATACCAGAGGGAAACTTGGATCTTCAGGACAGGAAAAACAACAGCAGAAGAGTTAAACAGGTAAATATTATATACTATTCCTCTGAAGTTCTTGAAAACATACATAAAACTGCTGACACCAAAAATTATAACATGTCATGGTGGGGAAGGGGTTAAATGTGTATAGCTGTAACACATATGACACATACAAAGGGACTGAGAGAAAAATCATCTATATAGTTGTAAGTATAGAAATGCTAAACAGTAACTTGGAGTGGCAAAATATTAACTTTAAGTAGAATATGAAGTATTTTATTATAATTCCTAGAGCAATCACTAAAAAGACCAAAAGATACAGCTTAAAAAGCCAATATGTGAAGTGAACTATTTAAAATATTTCAATCCAAAAGAAGGAAAGGAGAAACAGAAATAATTAGAAGTTCTAAATCCAGCTACATCAATAATTAAACTAAAATGTAAATAGTAAAAAAATTTTAAAAGACGTACTGATATAAATATTGAATTATATTGTACACCTGAAATTTGTCAATTACACCTCATGTAAAAAAAAAAAAAGGAAATACTGCTGAATAAAATACAGAGACAGTTTAGTGTTTTTCAAAATGGCAAAACTATGTTGCCCACAACAAACCATTTTACGATGTAATAA